TTGCCGCCTTCACTTAAAATATTCTTTGAACAGATTATTAATATGCTTAACTTTAACCTTGTACAAACGATCATCCTTTCATCATCATCATACTTTCACATGCTTTTTTTTCCTTACAGTTTTTTTTTTTTTTTTTTGTTAATGGTTTAGTTATCATCCTTTACAAAAGCCTTGCTTTAATAGGAGATTAACTCCTTATTTATCTGTAGTTAACTAGTGGTCTGGGACATTTAGCCTGGACCAACTACTGTTTAAAGTTTTAGCCCAGTTGCTTATGCTCATTGAGCAAGGTCATACACAACACAGAAGTTAAATGAACAAGGAGTCATGTAGACGTAACACATAATTTAAATCAAGTAATTTTAGCATGCCAAAGTCAAAGTTATGCCTATAAAATATATTATCCCAACAACCAAATTGTGGCTAGTGAAAATGGCAAGTCATTCATAATGTTGAAAAAATAGTATAGCCACAGTGGCTTTTGAAAAAAGTTAATGTCAAGCCCTGTATACAGTATATTACTTTTGAACATTCTATTAAAACATCACCATATCTAAAAAAGTATTAAGCGGTATGACTGTTTTCAACATTGATGATAACAATATATGTTTTGGAGCATCGAATTAGCATATTAGATGACACTGAAGATCATAGGAATGTTCCTGAAAATTCAGCATAGCAGTTGCAAAAATTATTTTAATTGAATTATATTTAAAAAAACTAAACTATAATTTTACATTTAAATAATATCTAGTTCTATTTTACTGTCGTTTTACTACCCTTTTTATTTTTTAATTATTAAATGCAATCTTGATGAGTATCAGATCTTTTTTCCTCCTTCAAAATCATTTTTACTTTAAACCATGAACAAAAAGTTTTTATAATTCATATCGTGCAATTACAATAAATGGAGACAATAGCAGTAAATAATACAGGAAATCTAAGTGGTCAGTATGACTTGTAGACTATGGCCCAATCCCAATTCTATTTATGTACCCCTACCCCTTAAAAATTAAAACCTACCGCTTAAAAATGTACCCTTAAGAATTGGGACAGCACTACAGCACCTGCACACGTCATCATATGTCCTCGCGGTCTGATGCTTCATATGAGATTAGACGATCGCGACTGCTGTAGTGATTCCAGTTGTGTTATTTTTTGGGATTTATCTTCAGGAAATTACTAATGGCATCATGTCATCATAACGATCTACTGTCTAATGATCTAATCTAAGCTTTTCACTCATCATAGCACACGTGCTGCTGTTTATGTGACAATAAAAGTGATTTGATTTGATGTGGCAATAAGACCGTAACTGTACTGTGTATTTATACCATGGCCATATTCATCTTTGTAAACACACGAAAAACAACATGAACATTATAGCAGACAATGTAAAAAGCCCATTCCCAGTCACTAGACTTTTCTGACAGGGTATTGCAGTGCCATCAAGTTTCAGAATACTGTGGTACTGTTGTACATGAGTTATTATTAGGGATGTTAGATCGTGAAATTTAGCGGATTTAAGCGTTTTTTTTTTTTAAAGCATGATGGTAAAACACGAACGCGGTTATGAACATAATAAAACGCGTGGCTAGTGTATTCTGGGTAATTTCTCTTACCCTTTGGTTTCGAGTGTGGTCCTGAAAAATCTTCGTTTGAAGGGGTGTATACCCCTTGCCCTTAGCCCTACGCCTTCAAGCTAAAGAGAATTGAGACACCACTACCCCTTCACGGGCACGCACAAATCGAGGGGTAAGGGGAAGGGCTAAGGGGTAGAATTGGGATTGGGCCTATATATTTCAAGACTTCTTGTGCCTTAAAATGGCCAAATTTTAAAAACAGTTGCTATTCACTAAAAATTATTTGGTTTGTAAATGACTAGGTCTTTTGACTCTGTTTCTTTAATTGTATCATTGGTCACATTCCCAATTTTAAAAAAAAATTTAATTGATGATTGAAATTTAACTTTTCAAGCTGAGCACATAAGGAAAAAAAAGCCTCATTTCTTTTGCTTTGTTGCTCAAGTGTGTAATTTGTATGTTGCAGCGAGATCCTTCAAACTGCTAGATTTATTTGTGAATTGTGAAATGTAGCAGCAAATGTGCAAAGCTTCATAATTTACCGTTGATAACCTTATGTCATTTATGTGCCTTTAAGTGGTATCCTCTTTTTGGAAGGCCACCGATATGTGGATCCTTGTTGGGCTGTTTCTTTCCCCTTGTGTTTCCTACTCTGAATCCACCTGGCATTAACATCTGTTTTCAGTGATCTGACCACAAGTGCCTAGCTGACAGACATTATCATGTCCACCTGGTTGTAAGATTTATTTAAATGCGCCTCTTGTGACCACTTATGCTCTTAGGTCAGTAGGTGGAAAGGCAAGTTTTTTTTGTTTTTGTTTTTTGTGGCTTTTCAAGTACATTCAATCATGTTTACAGTATAAAAGCAATACAATCAAATCTGTTTGCAGCTACTCCTGGAAGAGGTCAAAATTGGACAAGCTCAACTTTTTAGACCCCATTTGCACTTGTATTTATCATCCTCCTCTTGTGACTGGATTGGCTGTAACGCATCTTAATATTAGGTGTAAACCAGGGGTGTCAAACTCAATTCCTGGAGGGCCGAAGCCCTGCACAGTTTAGTTCCATCCCTGCTCCAACACACTTACCTGTAGGTTTCAAACAAGCCTGAAGGACTCAATTAGTTTGATCAGGTGTGTTTAATTAGGGTTGGAACTAAACTGTGCAGAGCTGCGGCCCTTTTGGAACTGAGTTTGACACCTGTGGTGTAAACTAAGACAGATGAGACTAATGATTTAATTGCTAACTGAAATATCTGAATAATACTATTAATAAATATCCTCTTAAAGGGATAGTTCACCCACAAATGAAAATTCTGTCATCATTTACTCACCCTTCACTTGTCACAAATCTTTATGAGTTTCATTTTTTTCTGTTGAACACAAGATCACAAGAAGATTTTTTGAAGAAAGCTTGAAACCTGTAACCATTGCCTTTCTGTAAAATTTGTTTTTCCTACTATGGATATCAATGGTTTCACGATTCCAACGTTCTTCAAAGTATCTTTTTTTGTGTTCAGCAGACGAATGTAACTCATGAAGGTTTGGTAAAAGTGCAAGGTGAATAAACAAGTACATTTTTATGGTTGGGTGAACTATACTTTAATGTACACTGTAAAAAAATCTGCAAATTTGCAGTTTTTTTTTTTTTTTTTGTATTTTGTGGTTCATCTGTTAGTTTTCCCATTTATTTATGCTCTTGAATTGCATTATGTGGCCTTGATCTTTCATCCAACACCTTTGGTGACAAAAGTGACTTTTATGAAAATTTTTAATAGTTTAAAGGGATATATTTTATGTGTTGGTGTTGTATATCGTGGTACAAACACTTATAATAAAACTTCCAGTACATTTCCTGTAATTTTACAGAATTAAATCTATGTATATTATTTATTATACATTATACTATTTGAAACTATTAAATTGTCAACAAAAGTCACTTTGTTAAACTGCAGAGTTTAATTTACAACATCAGAAGTCGACATAGCAGAAATCAAAATCCCATAATGCAAGGCTACGTTCACACTGCAAGGCTTATTGCTCACATTTTTTCTCAAATCAGATTTTTTTGCATAGCTGTTCACATTTGTTGTTATAAATGTGGCCAATGCCAGATTTGTAGTGTGAACAGATCATGGTCCTAAACTGACCTGCATGTGCTAAAGTACAGTTACGGACAGCACTAAATGTCTAATTATGCACACAATGTGTATACTGTATGAAGTAAGCATGTTGTCAGATTATACTTAATATGATTTTTGGCCATTTTCACAGACAACAGTGGTGTATTTCATGGACTGCAAAGGGTTGTTCTGCTACTAATGTGTATTTTGCCATTTGAAACCTAAAATAAGTCATATGTGATTGAAAACGCTGTAGAGCGTGTCTTTCTGACCACTGATATATATTATATTGAATTCATTAAGGGTTATTGAGAGCTGCAGACTGAACTGTAAAGGCGGAGTTGGTTTGTCTGTTTGCAGAGTTATTTTATTTTAATTCGTTATAAACAACAGGCATGTGCAGTAGGGGCTTTTGCGTGCTTGAGCACCTGCCTTTTTTTTTCTCTGAAAGTTCATTCTTAAAATGAAGGTGCCCCCCTACTGTGCCTTAAATTTTTTCAAAATGAACAACCACCTGTCTGTGGTAAACTAATTGCCATGAGTGCCATTTTGCTATGCTTCTAAGGAGATGTTTGCAGCACTGAATGATGACGTTCTCACTGTGGATGCATTGCAAAACATCAGATCTGTTTCTGGTTTAATACTACATATGAAAGTGGCACAAATCTAAATTGAAAAGATCAGATTCTATGCGGTTTGGGCTGTTAACACTGTCAAGACAAAAACAGATCTGAGTCACATGTGGGCAAAAAAAAAAAAAAAAAAGAGCTTCGAGCCACATTTGCCTGCAGTGTTTATGTAGCCTAATTCACAACCATAAATAAACAAAATACACTTGTGAATCACAACAGAAACATAAACTGTATCAGATCATTTTTACAGTGTATACCAGTGTAAGATTTTTTGTTTTGTTTTAATTTTTTTTATTTTTATTTGTAGAATTGTTTTATATACCTGTCAAATTTATTAATGGATTTGTATTTATCTTTTTGCTTTATTTTAAGTCTTAGTACATTTCACATTTTTGCTTTTAAGGATTTTCATCTGATATTGTGTTTCCGCATTTAAAGTTTTACTTACTAAATTACACTGCTGAGAATAGAGTTCATCCGCAATGAACTCACTGCAAGTTGATTTTAGAATAGATTTGAATAGAAGCAAAATTTCAGATCTGTGTTTTCACTCTGTCCCGTAAAGGCTGCTGTGTTATGGATATATGCCATAGATCATCTGTGCCAAGTATGCAGTGAAGCTCCTGTCTGTTTGGTTGCCAACTGTCTGTGTTTGCACTGCAGGTTCTGTTCATGCCACCTCTATAGCAGCGTCCCGAGTGGAGCAGGCGCTGTCTGAAGTGGCCTCCTCCCTCCAAAGCAGCGCCCCAAAACAGGGACCCCTACACCCTTGGATGACCCTCGCCCAAATCTGGCTGCATGCAGGTACTGTAAAATTTACAGTGCATCTATGAGCCTAATTTGCATCCTTTTATCATAAATCAAAACCATATATTTTCACAGAGTTTAATAAATGGTATGTTCTCTTTAATAAATGGTATATTCTGTAGTTTCACTATAAAATAACCACTTCAACAGACTTGAGGAATAAAAGATCATGTTTTAATATAGTCAGCTTATTCTTCGCTGCTTTGTGAACACACATTGTTATTAAGAGCTGTCTTTGTCCAAGCAAATACATTAGGAAAACCACATCCAGCAGGATTGAATTACCCATCTGGATACTTTTGTTTTCTGCCTACAATCAGCACAGAACAACAGACAAACCGTTGTGCTTGTTTGTGAATATGGCTGATTTAAATGCTGTGAAGTTCAAGAGAAATCTGCATCTTCATGGAGATAAAAATAACAACTTCACAAATCATGGATTTGATTCCTAGGCCATACAAATACTGATTGAAAAAACTTGAATGTATAGAAATTAAAGTTGGTAATTAAGGTTGATGGGAATAAACAAAAACATTGTCTGTTATGTGTTCAAAAGTAATTTGTTCATCCTTGAATTAACATTTTCTTATCATTCGTGTCGGAGAAAGTTACTTTAGAAAGTAATTCATTACAATATTTAGTTACTTCCCAAAAAAGTAACTAGTTACGTTACTTAGTTACTTTTTGTGGTAAGTAATGTAATGCGCTACGTTACTTTTCAGTTACTTTTGCGTCGCTTTTGCGTTACTTTTTATTACCTTGCTGAGGCTTGATCTCTTTCAGAACTTTGTTTTTAGTAGTGGAGTTCTGCAATTAACAGTGTCATGTATAACCTTCATCTTCGTTTACCTTTTAAAAAAAACACATTAAAAAAATATTTTATCATAATGTAATTTGAGAACTTCCTGACCCCAGAAATATACAGAGTACTGAAAGCTTAAAGCAATGTGTTAGCTACTTTTGTACTATTTGTCTTGAGTAAAATCACTGTCTGTTGAGACAATCCCCCTTTTCTTTTCTTCAATGAGTTTAAAATAATAAACACATTCTCTCATTGACTTTGTGATTCATTGTGAATACTTAAATACTTAATACCTAACAGGAGTTTATTTTTTAAAAGCGAATAAATAAACTAGAAAGTAACATTTTCAAAAGAATAACTCAAATATTATTACTTAAATTATTACATATTTTTTAAAAGTAATGCTTTATTTTACTCGTTACTTATAAAAGTAATATTATTACGTAACTCGCATTACTTGTACTGCACTACCCCCGATAAACTTTATCATTTACTCAAACTAATGTAATTACAAACATGAAATTTGTTCATGTTCAGGACACAAATGAAGATCATTTTAATCAAATCTCTTAGATTTCTGTCATTTCACTGAAAATCTGTTCTCCCAGATCTTTTAGAGATTATAAACATTAATACAGAGATTAAAGCTAAATCAACAAAAACACAAATAATTTAATAAATAAATAATGAGTCTTTTGAAGAGACACAAATGCTTTAAGATAAAAAATAAGATGATTTAATATTAGCTTTTATTTGTCAGTATATTCATTTGTGTTTTGGTTTGTGTTCTGAAGATGAAACAACCCCAATTTTTCATTTTGGTTTGAACAAAATCTTTAAATGGATTTCTAGAGCTAATTTTAGCTTTTTTCTGACTTTCCTGAATTTGTGCATCTTTTCTGTTAAATTCCTTCATTTTAAACTGTAAATTCAGATCACAGAACACTTTATGGCTATTACCAGTCAGATCCATCCAGCGCCAACAAAAGTCATCTATGCAAAATATTAGATAGCACTTTTTTTTTGATGGTCCATTCGAGTATTAGTAGACTGTCTGCTTAATATCTGTTGATACTGCTGCTGAACAGACATTAAACTGACTATATGAAACTTTGCAAGTACATGTCAACTTACACTAACCCTAACCCCAACCTAACAGTCCACTTATAAACTAATGAGAATTAGTTGGCATGTAGATGCAATGTAGCTTAAATACAACACAGGGACCATCAAAATAAAGTCTGACCAAATATAAATTTCTTACTTTAAAGTATTAAATTATAAATAAAAGTAAAAATGTAAAAATAATTGGCTTTAACTGAAATAAATACAAATATTATATGAATAAATAAAAATGTGGATTTAAATTATTATAGAAGTTTTAAAATCTACCTAGTAACATTTTAATTAAATAAAAATATTAGAAGCATTCAAAATATGAGAAAACCATTAAAACAAAATTACTAATACTTTTAAATTAAAGAGAAAACTGTTTAAAACATACCAAAAAAGTCATAAATCAAAACAAAGTAATACTAGCAAATAATACTAGAATCAGGGAAATATTTCATACCAAAATTAAGCGTCATTTAAATGACAGTGTTTATATTTGTTGTCTACAAATAAGGCAATCGACTCTGTTACTAAGCCTAATTATTCTTTAACCAGCTTGACTGTTGCTGAGCCAAGTAAGGGAACCTTAGCAGGACTTGGCGAGGTGAGAAAGGTGTCAAGAGCAAAGCCTGCTTACTAGTCACTTTCCCTGGAGTTTTTTGGCTGAAAACAGAGGACACCCTTCCAACTTTAATCTCCCATCAGCCCCACTGCGTTTTCGGAAACGGTCAAAGCTGTTGCTGAGACTCTCGATTCCTGTGCATCTCAAACACACACACACAACTCAAGGGTCACTCACAATAACAAGGATTCTCTTAATCTTTGATTTTAGCGGAGGTGTATATTGGAATGGGAAAGGCGGCGGAGGCTACAGCGTGTACGCAGGAAGCAGCCAACCTGTTCCCCATGTCCCATAACGTGCTGTTCATGAAGGGTCAGGTGGCAGAGCTGCGGGGGAACGTGGACGAGGCCAAGCGCTGGTACGAAGAGGCGCTGTCCATCAGTCCCACCCACGTCAAGACCATGCAGAGACTGGTGAGAGAACACTACAACATTCACTTTAAAGGGACAGTTCACTCAAAATCAACATATGCTGTTCATTTACCCACCAGTAGATCATTGAAGAAGTTTTTAGCTGAAACTGTGGTCCTTGGTCATTTCTAAAATACAAGTGAACTCATACCCATGCTTTGAGAATCTAAAGAACATATAGTTTTAGACTTACAAGTATTTCCCAAGGTTTTTTTCCCCAAAGTATTTCCCATTATACAGTAGTCAACATTCAAAGTGAATCAAAATATGTTTTTTCAAATTATTGTAGGATAAGAATGGGTGTTGTTTAATAGTTTTAGGACAACTTTAATGAAAAGTGATGATCCACTTTAAATTTTCTAGAAAAAGTATTGTTTTGTTTGTTTGTTTTATTGGAATATACAGTATATACACTACCTGACAAAAGTCTTGTCGTCAATCTCAGTTTTAAGAGCAACAAAAAATAACTTGACTTCTAGTTGATCATTTGGTAAAGTGACATCTGCTGAGCAAATGGCAACATCAACAGCCTGAGGTATCAAGACATTTGTGCTGCGCATTAGATTACAAACCACAGGAGAGGGCAAATTCTTCAGCAGGATAGCATTCCTTATCATACTTCAGCCTCCACACAAGTTCCTGAAAGCAAAGAAGGTCAAGGTGCTCCAGGATTGGCCAGCCCAGTCACCAAACATGAGCATTATTGAGCATGTCTGGGGTAAGATCAAGGAGAAGGCATTGAAGATGAATCCAAAGAATCTTGATGAACTCTGGGAGACCTGCAAGTACGCTTTCTTTGCCATTCCAGATTACTTTAATAATAAGTTATTTGAGTTGTGGCAGAGATGGATGGATGCAGTTGCTCAAACTCATTGGAGTCATACACTATATTAATTCTTTTTCCACTGCACTTGACTTTATCTTCTATACGGAACATTCTTTCTGTTAAGTGACAAGACTTTTGTCAAAGCAAAGTCTTACTGTCCTTAAAAAATTAAAAGTTAAGGCTTGATCATATTTTATTTTGGTAAAATAAGCGTAATCTAGAGGCTTTTGCCTTTCATATAAGCCACTTCTCATACCAAATACCAAATGATTGAACTGTCAGGTATTGTACAGTATATTATATATACAGAGTGTCTATAGAAAATCATCATTCCAAATGTCATACAGCCTGAAATCAAATCACATTCCAAATATCTTTTCCAGCCTTTGAAATCTTTTTGTAGCCTTCTCCTAACCTGTGCCTTTCTACATTTCTATAACTTATCCCGAATGTCTTTTGAAAGCAGAATATTGAGATTAAATGTAGACCTGGACCGTCCATCCTACAGAATTACAAAATTTTGAAATGAATATATATTTTAAATAAGTCGTTTCCTGGATCTACAAAACAAACCACTGTTGTCCAAAGACTAATTCCTCTAATTACCCCCTATGTTAAAATAATTAACCTAGTAGTTAAATCTTTAAGTTGCACTTTAAGCTGAATACCAGTTTCTTGCAAATGAACTACTAAAATATGATGTAATGTCAGCGTGGCAAAGACTTAAATGCATAATTTAGTATTTAAATAAATAATATAAATACATAAAATTATTAAAACTATTACATTTAAAACAAAATCTTCTCTCCAGTAAACCCTTTTTTTTTTTTTCTTTTTTTTTTTTTTTTTAAGATTTTAAAGATTTTCAGATTTAAGAATTAAAATTTCACAGCAGGGCTAATAATTTTGCCTTTAAATGTTTTAAGGCAAACTGAATGAACACTGGAGATTCCTGATGATACATTGAGTTCTTATATGAAGCAAAATGGTCTGTATGTGAAAAGTGATTTTCAAACGTTTGGTGTATGTGTGTGTGTGTCACGTTGAGTTAAAGGAGAGAGACAAGATCCCGTCCCGTGACGGTATTTAGCAGACTCTGAGTCCAGAATGTGTGTGTGTTGCTGTCTCCGCCTGCGTGTCTTAATAGTAAGCAGAAATGTCATATCTTATAAAGGATCTGTGCTGTGGTAGACAGCAGCAGGAGGAACTCTCTGTCAGATCTCTGTCTGGCCTTTTTTGTGTGTGTCTGACGCATTAAATCTTCAATTGACTTCAGCTCTTATTTTGTGGCAATTTCAATCCTAAAACAACACAAAACACTGTTGTATAAATATATGTAAGGAACACATTTCATCTGGCTAATCAATTGACACATGAAAAACAACCAGTATATACAGTAATGAAACCGTGGAAAAATCTGTACAATTAAGCAAGTTTCTCCTAAAATGTAGCTTTAAATGCAGATTGCAAAAGTAATCCAGATTTTATGTGTACACTCTTCTTATATATATATATATATATATATATATATATATATATATATATATATATATATATATATCTTCTTATATGCTATCTTTCATCCATTTTAAAATTAAATTATAATATTATTAAAGTAATGAAATAATTCTGTATTCTACAGAATAGAAAAACAATGATAAGATGTGGGCAGTGGGTAGCACTTACAGCAAGAAGGTCGCTGGTTCAAGCTCCGGCTGGGTCAATTGGCATTTCTGTGTGGAGTTTGCATGTTCTCCCCGTGCTTGCATGGGTTTTCACCGGGCCCACCATATATATATATATATATATATATATATATATATATATATATATATATATATATATATATATATATATATATATATATGGTAAGCAAAAATTAATCGTCATCATTCATAATCAATCATCATTTATATATCATATATATAATTTATTTTGTTTACTAAACATTTTGCCTTTAAATTTATAATGATTCCCAATGTGGATTCAATTTGAACCTAAAAGATTTCCAGTTTTTAAATAAATAGTAGGATAAAAAAATTGTACATTTCCTGATATCTATAATTCATTCCCTCATCCTCCTCTTTTGATTGGTCTGTCTGTTTTCAGGGTCTGATCTTGCATCAGCTGCAGAGGTACAGTCTAGCAGAGAAGATCCTGCGGGATGCGGTGCAGGTGAACAGCACGGCTCACGACGTGTGGAACAGTCTGGGTGAAGTGCTGCAAGCGCAGGGCAACGACGCCGCCGCCACCGAATGCTTCCTCACTGCCCTGGAGCTGGAGGCCAGCTGTCCCATCTTACCATTCACCATCATTCCCCGCACCCTCTGAGACAGTAAAACCTCTCTCCCACAGTCATGCATGAAACACAGCCCCCTTAAACACACACACAAACACACACACACACACACAGCCCAATCCTCAAAACTTTTCCTCTACCCAGGAATGCCTTTCATGGATTTTTCCTTCCTCCTTTCTCTGTAAGAATATCCTCCAGCTCTCTCATGGGTCAGTTTCAATCCAGAAACCAATACAAGCTGAAGTCACCATTCATCAAACCCCAGTGCTTCCTTTTTTCTTTTGACTTTTATTGGGGGGGCCTGAAACATACAATCGTGAAGTTCTAGTAGCTGTGTGTCATACAAGCCAGTAATAACACTGACGCGGAGATGGTCAGACGTTTGCATACTTGTGGTATGTGTGTGCGCTTGTGCAGACGGTCAGAGTTTGTGTGTGCGTCCTTTAAATGTGCCGATTTCCAGGATATCCCTTCCTGTGTGGCGTGCGCGCCTGTTTGCTTACAGTGGCTCCCTGTTACACACACAGAGACGTAATAAAGGTTGTGTATTATGCTGTTGATCCTGAGGGCAGGTGTGTCACCCGTGTTGTGACTCCTAGAAAAACATTACGTCCCATTCTGATCAAACACTCCATTGTTTGTATACTGTATGTCAAAAAAGAGTGGCCTAGAGCAGATGGAACGGATGCCAAAAGAACAACTATTCTACAAAGCAAATACTTTATCTCGCTTCTCGATGAAAGAGAGGATAAATCTAGTTTTGGACATTTCACTTTGTTCCTCGGTTTATTTTTTCACGTTTGTCACGATTCAGAGGTCAAGATTTATATTGTTGATTTATCAGAGACGTGTTATTTTAGATGTTTATTTATCTGTCGCGGTGGCCGTGTGTTCCACGGGTAAAGACGTATATGTGTTCCGCATGTGGACCTGAGAAGTTGTTGTTGGACTGTTACAGATGGACATGATGGAGTCTGTCAGATACACAAACGGTCAAAGTGATGAAGTCGTGTGAGAGAGAGAGCGAGGAACACTGTATGTGTGCACTTGAAGTCTTAGCAGTGGCAATCACAGAGCCAAACACACAACTGGAAAAGCTGTTTTATGATGTCAATAAATGATCAATTGTGAAACATCTGTCTTTGTGTTCAGGTGTTAAGGAATATCTACTAATATTGTTGACCTTTGTTCTAATTGCAGCTTTCTTTTTCCACAATTTTGTCTTTTTCATTTTGCTTCTGTGTGTTTGTGTGTGTTTATACTTTACACACTGTACACAATAGCTTATTAAGTCAGAGGCTGCATTTCTTATGAGGATATTTCTAAAATTTTGTTTTCTTTCATTTTCTTTCAGCTTAGTCGCTTTATTCATCAGGGGTCTCCACAGTGGAATGAACCGCCAACTATTCCAGCATATGTTTTACACCAGGGGTGCTCAAGCCTGCTCCTGGAGATCGACCTTCCTAAAGAGTTCAGCTCAAACCCTGATCAAACACACCTGAATCAATTAATTAGGACCTGAACAGCACTTGATAATTACAGGCAGGGGTGTTTAATATCGGTTGCAACTGAAATCTGCAGGAAGGTCGATCTCCAGGAACAGGGTTGGTCACCCCTGTTTTACACAGTGAATACCCTTCTAGCTGCAACCCTGTACTGGAAAACACCCATACACTCTAACATTCACACACATACACTACTGCCAATTTAGTGTATTCAATTCACCCACAGTGCATGTATTTGGACTGTAGGGGAAACCAGAGCAACTGGAGGAGACCCACACAGGGAGAACATGCAAACTCCACACAGAAATGCCAACTGACCCAACCGGGAATCGAACCAGCGACCTTCTTGCTGTGAGGCGACAGTGCTAACCACTGAGCCAGAGTGTCGCCTATGTCAAAAATATTAAGTGTGTTTTCAATATTTGTATTTTAAATGTCTTAAAATGTCATTCAAGCGATATTAAATGTTTTTTTTTCAAGCTATTTTAGTTGTTAGCAAATGCTTTTTAAACAAAATCAGAAAATAAGTCATCACCTTGGAATTATAAGGTTCTTTCTACGTTCTGAATGATTTTCAGATATCGAGCTTTAAAGTTTTTGCATTCCATATAGCAAACAGTATGTGTGTAACATTTGTTTTAAATAAAAATTCTTAAAATGTAAACAACTTTTAGAAAAACATCCCATAATGTAAATAAGTTGTCATTTAATAAGAATACGTCAGTAACTCAATTTTGACAAAAATGTCAGGTAGAACCTTATAATTCTAAGGTGGCGAAGGGTCTATAAAATAGTAATAAAAGATGTAGATTTAACATTATAGTTTTCATATGTCTGTTAATAATAGGTTTTTGTAATAAATAAGTTTTTGACTTTGGAAACTATTTATTTTTGTTAGTGTTGTTAATAGAGTTTGGGGAACTAATGTCAAATTATTGTTATGAATTTTATTATTAATATTTTATTATCACTATTATTATTTATCATTTATTTATTCGTTTTGCTTTGGCTCAGTCCTTTATTTATCAGGAGTCACCACCGTGGAATGAACCGCCAACTATTCTGGAATATGTTTTAATCATCGGATGCTCCTCCAGCAACAAACCGGTACTGGGAAACACTGATACACTCACTCATAAACTGCAGTTAATTTTAGTTATACCCAATTCGCCTATAGAGCACATCTTTGGACTGTGAGGGATCCCCAGATGAACACAGGCAAACTCCACACAGAAATGCCAACTGCCCCAACCGGGCCGTGAACTAGCAACCTTCTTGCTGTGAGGCAGCAGTGCTAACCACTGAGCCACCATGCTGTCTCATTATCAATACTAATAATGGATGAGGTTTTACACACTTTATATGTATAATTAAGTGTTAAGGATGGTCATTAGGAGATGGTCTTTTTTTCAAATTCTGTACTATAAAATAAGTCTTCAATTTAATTCTCAGAGTCATCTGATGTCTGAGAAGTGAGTTATTTTGTTTGTTTATCTTTACATCTTGGTTGTTCGTTATTGTCTTTGAACATTTTTAGCCCTGATAATCTCTAGCCCAGCGTGAGTTGTCGGAGATCTGTGAGGTGAGTTTTTTTGTTTATTTTAACATCTTGATTGTATGTTTCCTTCTTTGAATATTTTTGGCCCTGATAATCTGACAAATTGCATCATTTACATTAAGTGGAATGTTATTTTATTGTCTTGTCATACCAACAGCAACACTAACACAGCTGGGTTTGTCACATTTTGGGTTTACTTTTACTCTTTACTCCTTTACTTTGTGGATAAGGAAACAGTGTTGCACTCACTCCACTAAAGGCATTCGTTAGCGTACATAATTTAGTTTCTTAAGCGCAAAGATTTGTTTTAAAACTAATAATAAATTCAGTTCTGATTTCTAGGAAATTAATAAATGATCAATTATAATGAAGTGGGTTAAAAAAATATTATATCCAAACACACGTCCTGTTCTTATGCCCCATATGGTGATGCAGACGCCTCCAAAAACGATAGATGGACTAATCTAATCCTGTTTTTGTTCAAACAAATATAAATATGCATATAATGAATGATCCTGCTAAAAATAATAACATTATACAAAAGCAAATTGTCATGAATAAACTGAAAACAGCCCCCGGAGATGAAGAAGGCATTGAGGCAGTGTTTTTTTTTTCATATTTATGTAGAAAATAGTCATTTTTCTAACATTTTAATTCTTAAAATGTTTTTTAAAATGTCACTAATGTGCTCTGTGCTGGACTTTAGACCTGCTTTTAGCTGGTCAATGGCTCGGTCTATTGGTGTGTTTTTTTTCAAAATAGCAACACACCTCTATTTTAGACAGGCACGCCCATGAAACCACAAAGTGGCTCAAATAAATTAGCTATTTAAACAATGTGGCGCAAAACCTGAAAAATATGATTGCGTTGGTCTGAAAATACCAACAAATCACGTCTGGTGGATGATAGAGCCCCTGAAATGAATTTAGGTTTTTTTTAAATTGCACAACACTAGTTTTTTCTTCAATTTTGCTTGAAGTATATCAGTTGTTTACCATGGCCTCAGCAAAGCACTTTCCCTAAAAACTGCACAGCAAGTCTAGTTAGTAGAATGTAATGCATAGTTTCGTTGCGTTGCGCCGTAAAGCATTTCAAAGTCCAATGAAGCGTGAAGCCAAGCACTGATTTAAGGAAAGAGTACTTTTTGGCCCCACATTAAACTTCATTTCCTGTTACCCACATGTCTCCTTACATGTCCCTGCTCTCCTCAGCTCATGTATGTTAGATGAGTCCACTGTTTCCTTGACTTGTGCCATGCTTGAATACCTTTAAAAAGCTCTCAAAGATTGATGAAGGTCCAAAAGCTCACAAGCAGAAAAAAAAAATAATGGCGAGAGAAAGGACGAGGGCGGCCGCCTCTGAAAAGCAAATGAATGACGTGGCCTAATAAAAAAGGGAGTCAGGGAGAAAGAAGGATATGAGGTGGGAAATGTACAAGGTGAATTATTTAATGCACTTACAGGCCTGCCTTAAACTAATGAGCGCTTGCTGCTTTACGGGACAGGCCGCGCTCCCAGGAGGATTCTGAGACGTACAAAGAGCTGCAGCAAGAGTTTGGCCGTTATTAAGAGGAGCGTTTTAGTGTTTACGCCTCTCGAGAGCTCTTCTTCGCCTCGTTCCTCCTGTAAAGCGCTGAGCATCATAAACTGGCCAGCACGGCCACACGCTGCTCTTTGATCTGGGTCAGGAGCGGCTTGAACCCTAATGAGCCCTCAGTGACCGCTTTGGCTTCTGCAAACACTACACACTAGTCCTGACCACCGCCTCTCTTATACGTCTTTAGTTGTGAAGCCTAAGTGTGATCTGAAAGATGGCTTTGAGATTTGAACTGGTTTTAATGACCATTATATTATGTGGTATAGTTAAACCAATTGTTTTTTCAGATTCCATATATGGATATGTTTACACTGGATATACGGAAAGTATTCAGACCTCCTTAAATTGTTTCACTCTTTGTTATGTTGCAGACATTTGCTAAAATCATTTAAGTTCCTAATGAATGTACACACAACAACAAATATTAACAGAAAAATATAGAATTGTTGACATTTTTTAATTTAGATTTATTAAAAAGAAAAGCTGAAATATCACATGGTCGTAAGTATTCACACCCTTTGCTCAGTATTTAGTAGAAGCACCCTTTTGAATAAGGTAACAAGTTTCCACACCTGGATTTGAGGATCCTCTACCATTCCTCCTTGCAGATCCACTCCAGTTCTGTCAGGTTGGATGGTAAACATTGGTGGACAGACATTGTTTTGGTCTCTCCAGAGATGCTCAATTGGGTTTAAGTCAGGGCTCTGGCTGTGCTATTCAAGACCAGTCACCGAGTTGTAAAGCCATCCTTCGTTATTTTAGCTGTGTGCTTGGGGTCATTGTCTTGTTAAAATGTGAACCTTCAGCCCAGTCTGAGGTCCTGAGCACTCTATAGAAGTTTTTCATCCAGGATATGCCTGTACTTGACTGCATTCGTCTTTCATCTTTCCGTCAATTGCAACCAGTCGTCCAGTACCTGCAGCTGAAAAACATGAGCAGTGCCTGGTTTTCTCCACACAAATATTATTTGTTTTATTTTGGCTAGAATAAAAGCAGATTTCGATTTTTTTTAAACCATTTCTATATGCTTGTTTATGTACCAGGGACAATACACTTAACATTGTTATACAAAGATAACTGATGATGTGTACATAGGGCATGTAGCCTAAAGCTAATTTGCAGCCCTCGTTCCTGGTTAGGCTTTACATTAAAAAATTTTAAAATTAACAAACATGAAAATAAAACACCATAGGACAAACATGTACAATATATATAGAGCGACAAACATAAAATGTAAGTCAATCTGCATAAAGAGAAATGGAAACCTGACCAACCTGAAAGAATAATACTGAATTCTCACATTGCTGTAAAGATTTCAACCATTCTTTCATCTTAACAGATCAATATTCTTAGCCCCCTTAACATTTTTTTTCTCGATTGTCTACAGAACAAGCCACTGTTTTACACTGACCTGCCTAAATAACATAGCTTGTCAATTTAACCTAGTTAAGTCTTTAAATTGCACTTTAAGCTGAATA